CCCGTGAGCAATACTGTGAACAGTAACTATGGGTTGGTTTTCTTATGTTCAGTGTGTTTACAGTTGGAGTGAAGGAAGAATGCATTAGCCTTGTTTAATGGAGTCTATTGGTGGTAAATAGAGAGTGATAGCCGGGATAGGAATGATGAGATTGAGTACCATGACTTTGAAGAAATGAAAGAAAATCAATTTAATTGGACAGGATAACTGTGTTTTAATCATGTTTGAAAAACTGTAGTAAATAGTTTTAGTTCAGATCGATTTTTCATGAAAATATCCAAGTAAAGGGAAAAATTATCAACAAAAATGACAAAAATATCAGGATACCCATGGTTAAAGTAGAGGATAGATCCCAAATATCAGAATGCATAAGATCAAAAGGAGCCATGGAACAGAGTCACTTTATTAAAGGATAAGCAGGTTGTTTTACAAGTTGACAGGATAGCAATTCTTAGTGTCAGAAACAACATGCTCTAACTGATCACTAGAAATAAAAGACTTTGAACGACCAAAAGAAATGTATCCTAAACGAGAATGCCAAAGATGGAAAGGAGACTTAGTGGAAGCAGAAGTAGCAAGTTGGGTGGAAGATGGGTATGGAGGTGAATGATTCATATAGACGTCCATGCTTACTACCGATCTCAATAGTCCATCATGCCTGAGGGTCCTGCACCAGACAACCATTAGCAAAAAAAGATGATAACCAAGTTCACATAGTTGACCATGGAGATGAGATTTATAAGAGCCGGTATTTAGATAACATTAGGTGAAGACACATTAGAAGTGGAAACATGACCAATATGAGAATTGACCTAAGAGATCCATCAACCATATGAATGAAGGGAATATGGGCGGAGGAAAAGTGAAGAAGAGCAGTACAATCAGAAGTCATAGGGTTTAACATGCAGAGTCAAAGTACTAGCGGCCTCCAGACAACCTCTAACCTTCTCCTATTCTTGCCCAATAACAGTCCAAAACCCTACCCTTTAATTACCTAATACAAACCATAACATAAGCCATATTTTTACCAACCATTTAACCTCAGAAGCAATCAGATGTAAATAAAACCCTTTTCCACTGCCCTATAGCAAATTAGTGTTACAACTTCTAGGGAAACATTCACCACACAAATATTAGATCAAGACCATTACAAAAAACAAGCCAATCAACAACACAACTATAAAAATTAAAAATAATAATAACAAATTAAACATCAAACAAAACCAAACAAGTGAAGCAACATTCACTAAGGACACAAAATAATGAACCGGCATAATGTATCACAATCATGAAACTTTTAAGCCCCTTGTGTACAATGTCCTATTCGAAAATTCCTAAGAAAATATTGGGATTGTGCATTATATATCTATTCTCATTCAAACAGCAGTTTTTCTTGTACCAGAAACAGAAACCAATATATTTACTCTGCCAAAATGAAAATAAATCTAAGTCAATGAGTAAATTATTTCATCTAGCATAACCTAAGTAATACAAGTGGAAAATAATATAATATTGGATTAGTCAGTTCTCATTTGAATACAATACCTCATAAGAAGCAAATAGCGAAAACTCATACGATAAACAGTAATCTTAAAGTCTAATAAACAGCCAAATCATTGACTTATGATAAATTCCTATCATGAACGAAATCATAATTAGATCAAATACAATAAATGTACCAGAGCTAAGTCAACTAACGAAACAGAATCAATAGACAGAAGCAATCGCATCAAAAAATATTAGCAATGATGTAGAGCCCACTAATGATAAATGGAATGGGCACTCATTAAATTAAGGTTTGAAGCTTTACTAGGGTCTTTTCTCTTGCTTTGAGTAATAGCTATAATTATAATCAGAGAAAATTAAAAAATATATAAACCAGGCCACTAAGTGATATGAGCACCATTGTATTGGCGAAGAGATAACTTACTTGTATTTTAGAAGAACACTCTGTTGAAGGATCTGGATATTTGTTTTGGGTTTTCTCAATGCATAAAGTTTCTGAACAATGAACTCAAACACCTAAAAGAGAGGGACAAGGGAGGGAATGAGGAAAAAAAGATGACATATTACTATGAAATTTTTTTTGTGATCATAAAATATATATATATATATATACATAAAATAAAAACATGAAACAAAGAGGTCAGTTCCAATAAGAATACTGAGGGATAAGAAGTCTACCAAAAAAGCAGAAAAATAAAAGGAATTAACCAAAAAATCATGAGTAAATATTGTGAGAAATAATTAATTATTAATGGACAGCAGGCATTAGCAACAGATTTTCATTATATCATGGGTCATATAATAATATCCACCACCTATGAAGCATGGGCACCTCGGCAAACATGCCATACCCGTACCGGGTACACAAAACACTTACCCAAATTTTATCTTAATTTTTTTCCGTACACTAGACGTACCTAGCATAAACCCATGTCGTACCTCAACTGTAATAGTATTTTTTTCTATACAGAGGTGAAGTTATTTTCATTGGGCTCGTTTTATATTCTTAGTATGAGGTGAAGTTAGTTTCATTGGGCTCGTTTTATATTCTTAGCATGATTTTAAAATTAATCTTTGGTTTGTAAGTTGTTTAATATAATGAAGGTTAATTTTGGTTTATACCTTACTTTTGCAAATTAAATGTAAATTGCACATTGCATCTTAACAAAATAAATCATTTAACTATTTTTTGCATTACTTCAAATTATAAAAAATAAAAAAAAAATTTAACGTATCCAGTCATACCCGTACCATACTTTTTTTAGATTTTACCATATCGTACCAATACCCATACTTGTACCTATACCTGTGCTTCATAGTCCACCACCATGGCAGTACCAATACATGTACCCATACATGTGCTTCATAGTCCACCACCCTATCCAATACTAATATGAAAATCATCATCAGATCTGGATTCAGATTTTAATATTCTTGACCAAGAATATTGCTTTTCTGTTCATGAAAATTTCCATGAATGTAAAGAACTTCAGATGGAATGTCAAGACAAAAAACTATAGAAGTAATTCCTAATGCAAGGTTAATAATTGGCATCTAATTTATCAGATTATGAGATGAAACAAATTTGCAGAGGAACTGGTATAAAAGCTATCCACATTAATTTTCATAGGAACTTTCTGCAATGACAACAATTCACAGTAATCACAACTTTACCTTATCAAGATGCGACACTAATTTTCAAATTTTACTATATGTTCTTTCAATTTACTGTAAAAACTTCTTAACTTCTAAATGAACTTTGCACAGTTGCTAACAACTCCTTATGAACAAAACAAAACATTACACGTACACATTTTTTTACAAATTGTGTTTCTCAAATCTCAGAAAAGTTTAAACTTGGTAAGATATCAGAAAAACTTGGTGCTAAAAGGGATAAAGAGTCATTTTGGACCAGATATGTTTGCGAGTTTGCTATGTTCAAATATTAAATATGAGTCCAAGTTTTGTAAGATCGACCCCATGAAAGAAGCCTCTACAGACTCCATTCATCTGTAACACATCACAAATTAATCAATCAAGGCACATTACCCAAAAACATAAATCAAGAGCAACTAAAAAGAAACTTTCAAATCTTTCTTAAAAGTTCCTTTAAATTTCAAAGAAAACTCCTAAAATTTAAAATCACAAGTTTCTCTTGAATTTGAATGTTGTTTTTGATTTTCGTAAACATTAACATCTAATAAGAAACATGATATCCATGATATTATGGAGGTCACACATAAAATTGCACAAGTATATAAATAATCAACAATAATCAATGAACATGTTGAGTTTAATTAATCTACTAAGCAACCTTTGCGACTGCTTTCTGCCGAAGTCTTTCTAGCTCAGGCTGAACATCTTTTAGAGCTTTCGAAGTTTTAACCATAAGATCAACTTCAACAAACTTTAGCTTCTTACTCAGAATCTCAAGAGTTCTCATATATTCATCATTAACCTAAAGAAGAATTCCACAGCAGTCAGGTTAGTAGCTGATGAAACACCAGAGACACAATAATTCCACATTCAATAGGCAAATCATCAGCAACATGTACTGTACACTTAAAAATTTACAAACATATCTAACAAAGCTAAATTAAGAAACGTGTCCCCACACTCACAAGCATGCACAAGTGAACACAAACACACACAAGAAGATAGAGGGGAGGGGGAAGAGAGAGAGACTGACATTATGACAGCACTAAATCAGTTATGGCAAGCAAGAAACAACTACAGACTTACATAATTAAGCTGACAGAGAAAGTTTTAAGGATGTTTCTATCCAAGCAAACAAGGGTTATAAATTATAAATAATGGAACAAAGGTGTAATAAAGGAGCTGTCCACATTTTCTCAATAAGCACAAAATGTCAACTGTGAATGTAATCCAACCAAAACTTGAAACTACATCATTAAATACTTGATGTGGCATCTGAACACCTAAACAGAGATCAACTCATGGAAATTAGACTGCTGCCTAGTCCACTAGTCAAAAAAGGCACATATGATATGCACACAGTTGTGGACAAGGAATGCTTGCACAATTGCCAACCTGATAAGCAACATCTGACAAAAAATAGGTATAAAAATGGAAACAATAGACGATCAACATTCTGATACATGAATTTTTTTTATTTTCAAATTTTAGATAACAAAATTTTAGTAAAAAGGCACCAACAAAGGGGTGAAACATTTGTACACTAGAAGTTTACAAAGCAGAATTAAAGCCCTTCACCAAACTGAGAAAAAAATGGGAACAATTAATTTTCTGCCACATGTATGTGCAAATCATACTAACCCTTTGCAATATGCTATGGCATCCTATTGTTTTTTTCCTTTTTTTTTTATCTATAACAAAAGAGTTAATTCATAACAGAGAAACGAAAATTGCATAATAGAACGGAGGACAAGAAGTCCACAAAGAGAAAAAACAAAAACAAAAACAAAAACTGAAACCACATAATACAAATTTTTCAAAATCCAACTATTCAAAATGTACTTCATAAAACCCATTGAATGTCCATTTGGCAGGTCCCCCTAGCAGGGCCTGGGGAGGTTATCAAACTTACCTCAAATGAAAAAAATCATAATCTGGAACTGGTATAAGACAAATCAACGTCAAGAAGGAGATGAAGCTCTCACAAGGGAGCAACTTGCTGAAAACAAAGTGTGCAAACCTAAATTCAAGCCTTCGCAGTTTTTAGGTTTACTCTTATCGCAGGCTTCAATAATTTTTTAAACTTCTCAAAAAGTAATTTAAGACGGCATATTGCTTTTATCTTAGGCATCAATTTAGTGGGAATTTGAAACTCAAGATTTGTAATTAAGTGAAATGATCAACCATTGTAAGAATGGATTCTATAAGGAGATGAATAGTCTTGGAACCTTCTCTTCACACACTCTGCAGGAAATCCAAACTGTTATACATGCACTCACTCCCAAGTGTTCCCTAGGGGAATGGGAATGAGGTATTCAGAACAGTGGTGAGCAGAGGCTCTAGACGAATCATGGTGCTCCAGGGCCATTGTGACACCCTAAGTACTTCTATCACATGACATGTACATTTTTTCATTTCAATGCTTGAAATGCCTAGTGTTAAATTTGCCTTCCTTGGTATGTGAAACACTTAAAACATGCATTAATAGTCCTCTGGCATGACTTAGAAGGATTTGTTCTTTACATAAAATACAAATATATGCTTTGCAATGCTATGTCTATAGCCTTGAAGTTCTATGATCCTTTAATTGATAAATTTTGCTTTGAAAATGATCTCTTGAAGCAAAATTGAAGAACATATGTTTTGATTAGTTCTATTGGAGGCTGTAAATCTACTAATAGTATTGGGTCCCGGCAGCTGTTAGGGAACTTAAAATATACTAAGTATTGGTATTGTGAATGCTATCTTAGAATGTGGTTTAAACATAATCAGAGTCAACCTAGCTATGTTTTGTTTCGTATTTTCTTGATGGCCATTATCACTATGTTGTGAAAGGGAAATGCATAAAATATGTTTCAATTGCAAATTTAGCCTTTAAGCTTTTGGACTTCTTTTAATCATTTGAAATAGAGTTATCATCGTAACAAAATAGCTTTGATATCGCTGTTCTTGGGGCTTTGGTTCACCTCTTTCCCATATATGTATAGGTGATGATGATAAAGCATGAAAGTTTCACGTTTGAAGTTAACTGTATAAGCGAAAAGACATTTGGAAGTTTATAAGCCTAGTTGTTAGATAAGATCAAAAGTTTGAAAGCTTTGTACAACTCCAGCTTTGGAAAGTACAAGTTGTCTTTCTCTTGTAAAAGTTTTTAGTCCTTGTGTTTGAGTCTGGAAAGGTATAATAAAGGATAAAAAATGTTATATCGTATATTATATTTCATTTACTTATGCACTTTCTATAAATGGATGTCGTGAAATCAACATGTTAAAGAATTGAATGGTTTCCACTATCCAAAGCATTTTATCCCACCTTTTTCAAGAGTACTACATGTTTGTTTAGTTAGGTCTTTGGTAGTTTGACTACTGGCCAGTCACAACTCTATCTCAATTTGGGGTGGGATGGGTTTGTGACAGCCATGGCACCGTCGAGCGTGCTACGGTTGAGCATGTGAGCTTGGCTCCATCGCAAGTACGCTGCAAGCCATGCATCATGCTCTTCATACTTTTAGCTCAGCAGACAGCAACGAGCAGGAACCGCCAGTAGCAGCCGTGCAAGTGAGCTGCGGCCATGCTTGTGGTGTGTATACCCCTACTTAGGCTAGTATACAAACCCAACACATTAAACCTATGAGGACATCATGCTGCCTCAGGGGTCTGCCACATGTCAAGTGCATGGTTCAAAAAATCGGCCACTATGTAGCGTTCTGCTTGCCTGTTCAAAGAGGTTTTTATAGCCCTCCAATACAGATACTTGCCGATTACCGTTATGACTGAAAATCACAAGTGCCACAGTCGGTTCACGGTACGTATTTTACTGAACCAGTATTTTGAAGCATTCATTTCCAAACTGGACCGGTTCAACTTATTACAGCTTTCAAAATTTGACTTACAATGACCTTCTCCGCGGTGTAAAATTGATCCGCTGGGAATGAAGTTCTTGCACATTATTAAAAGAAATGAAACTTCTTTCCTTCTTTTAGCTCACCTATGTGGGACAATGACAACTTATTTATAGCTGGCTTAGAGACTCGCTTCTCTAATCTGGCAAACGTGGTATTGTGGAAATGCAACCCACCTAACCAGCTACTGTAGTATTCACTTTTGAACAAAAACATACTAACCCAATTTCTTTAAATAGGATTTCTTAACAATTTACAAACTAACATTTCCAATATAGTACGCCATGATTAATATTGTTATATTTATTTTATGGTAAGATTAAAATAGTTTAAACACATGTATCATTGAATTTGAGAGAGGTTGCGCATGATTTTCAAAAGGGTTAATTACACCAAGATCCCTTCAACTACTAGTGAATATCACTTTATCCCCCTCAACTATGATCTCGTACATATTGACCCCCACAACTATGAAAACCATACAAATACATCTCTTTTGGAGGTGGTCTGGAGGAGATGAAAGTGATACATTTCTATAGTTGAGGAGGTCGATATGTACGATTTCATAGATGAGGGAGGCAAAGTAATATTCGCTAATAGTTGAGGGGGTCTTGCTGTAATTAACCCTTTTAAAAATTTCATGATCTTGTCTTGCAATTCCCGATACGTATCATTCGATACTCCTGATACCGTAACACCACAACCGATAGTATTACATATCCCAATACAGCAATTTGAAACCATGGTTAGGTGTGGTATAAGTACCCACAAAAACAAAGTGGGAAAGGATGTCCAAGATATACTTGTATAAAAAGTCTGCAATAGTAACAATATGAAATTCTTTCTTCAGAGGAGAATGTAAGCACATCACTAAAAATCAAACATACCTCTCCGTCAACAATTATGTCAATCATCCTTGGTGGGACGATAATATCTTCAACAAATTTTGCAAGTTTTGATTCTGCCACCTGTTAAACAACATAGACCAACACATGCAAATTCACAAGGATGCAACCATGAGAGTAGTAAAAAGATGGTTATTGAACTAGCATATATGAACACTAATTGCTAGATGCAGTAGGACAAGTTAATCAAAAAACAAAATCTTACTCCCTTATCATCGAGGGAAAAGACAAAGAAAAGGAAAAAGAAAAAAAGACAATGCTTCATAGTGGTTGTAAAAAACAACTTCCAAATAACCAGTGTCTATCCAACAACTCTGTCCTGATAAGGAAAAGATATGACAAATATTTTCCTGACAAGAAAAACAGTGAAAACAATAATTTTCTTCAGCAAGCTTGTGAAACGGATAATTACACACCATATGGGCGATTTCAATTTGGTTTATATAACATTTGAAGTGATTATCTGTAAATTAAGAATAAAAGAAATCAACTAATCATTTTTAGGTAACCAAATTAGTATGAATTATTGAAGCCAAATGAGAAATATAAGAACTTATATATATGTAATGCAACAAATTATATATATATATATATATATTTGGGCAAATTACGTTGATAGTCCCTATATTTTGATCTTTGTGTTATTTTGGCTCGATTTTGACCCTGAATTTATGATTTTATCTCAATTTAGTCCAATTACTACAATTGTTAGTATTTTTTTTTTTAATAGAAAATATGCATATAAGTGACACAGAGTCAAAATTATAAATTTGTTCAACTCAATGAATTAACCTCAAACAATTTAGTGATCATTGTGTCAAAAACACTAATGGCATTATCAATTGGACCAAATTAATACAAAATCTAAAATTAAGGGTCAAAATTGAGCAATTGAAAGTGCAGGGATCAAAATGACACAAGAGGCAAAATATAGGGACAACCGGTGTAATTGGTCCTATATATTTTTATAGTTAAACCATGTGAGTATTTAGAAATAAATTATTTAACACTACTCAAATAAATGCATATGGTGTCCTAATTTGATTTTTATTAATATAGATAGTGAGACTTATCAATTTTAACTTTTTTTTTAAGACAAGTGAACTGTATAATATCAAGTATTGATTAAAAACTACCAAATAACTTCTCTTATATGTACGTAATTAATTTTTTTAATTTGTTTCATCATCACTTTTGTCATGACAATAGGTTATTCTAGAATACACACCATTTTGTGTACCATATATAAGTTATAACATTTGTTGGTCTTGAGATTCTTAAACAATTACAAGTCTCCACTGCTTTTTTGAATTACACTGACCTCTCCTTGTGATCAACCTTCCATTAACACCGTTGTCACAAGGGAGATCAGTGTAATTCAAAAAAACTAGGAGACCAATGTAATTGTCAGAATCCTAAGGGGAGGTGACTGTAATTTATCCTAAATAAACAGATTGGTTCACTTCATGTGACGTGGTCCCACCTGACATGTCTGCTCAAAACCTAACAGTACCAGTAGTGTTCGTTCATGTTATTATTGTTGTGGTCCCACTAACACGTGCTCAGACCTGCAACCTGCCTTATCCTCAGATTGTCTTTGTTCAACTTTTACTTCATTGTTTGTCCTCTTCTCATCATAGCAAGAAATTCAAGAAATGATTCATGCTATGGTCGTATTTGCGTTTTATTTTTCTTAAAATAATTATAGAGACAGCTACAGGTTGGTTTGTTGGTTGATGTTCTAGTACTCTATTTGGCATGATGGTGGTGTGGTAAGAGCCCTTACCTCTAAACACACCCCAATCATCAACCTTACGACTTTTGAAACAGTGGATACTTATGGATGAGGAGGAGGGCAATTGGGATATGAACTGTTTAAAGTTCTAAAAATTCCTAGTGCTGCCCTCAGTTGTGTACTTAAAGTCAGTTTTACCTCAGTTTGTTTACTTTCCCTGATACTCCTCATCTGGAAGGGGTCCATTGGGGGAGGTTTCTCCATCTGTGGCTGCCTATAAAATTGCTTCCAACAGGTGGTGGATAAACATGGATTTGACTTGGAATGGGTTTGGAACTAAAAGTTCCTCAGAACCTCAAAAGCTTCCTTTGGTTAATCTTCTTTGTAGGCTTTTAACGATGAGTTGAGAAATGAAAAGAAGGCTTGACTGTCAATGCTTCTCTTTGTACCTAGGTGTGGTTATCAACATTGAAGACATGGAGCATTTACTTCGTGATTGTGTTGTCACCAAAGATGTTTGGATTAATGTGGCTGGCCTTCATTGGTTCTCTAAGGATAAGCAGTTGAATCTCAATTCTTGGCTCAAAAGAAATTCGAAACCTCACTCACAAACTGACCCTTACTGGAATATTGTTTTTGTTGTCTCTCTCTGGCAAATCTGGAATGACAGGAATAAAAAAGTTTTTGAAAATTCAGATCCTATTTTGCATAAAACCTTATCCTTTATTTATAACTATGCCAGTGTGATCAAACAGGCTTTTACCAGATCTGTTATTTTGACTCAGCACTCACCTCAATTGATTAAATGGTTTCCTCCTCCTATAGGGAAAATCAAACTCAATATGGACGGATGTGCGCGAGGAGATCCAGGGGAAGGAGGCTTCGGAGGGGTCTTCAGAGATGAAAAAGGAGTTTAGCTGTGTGGTTTCTATGGAAAGCTAGAGAAGTGCTACAGCCTTGAAGCTGAAATATGGGGCATCTAGCGTGGCCTCACAATGGTGCTGGAGAAAGGTCTCGACAAAATCATCATTGAGACATCTACAATAGCTGAAGAATTGCCTACCAAGGGTCCACCTCAGAATTGCCCTTACAGGATTATTGTGGAAGACTCTCACCACCTTCTTCATCGCTGTAACTGCTCCATTCAACACATCTTGCGTGAAGCCAACCAATGTGCGAATAAGCTCGCAAACATGGGAGCTGATCAATTGGAATTGCTGGTGGTGGTGGTGGAAGAGCCACCTTTTGAAGTTAGAAGCCAAATTGTTGCTGACATGGTGGGAGTGGAACACAGGAGGATCTAACTCTTGTTTCCTTCCCCTATTTTACGTTTTATGTTCTAGTTTTTAGTCTTGTCTGCTTGCTGTTATTTCCTCTTCCGTTGTACGCAAAAAAACACTAAGGGTTGGCTAGGGTATAGTTCATTTTTTTGTTTTTTTTATTTATTAAAATATATATATATATATAAGTAGAGATGTGATGTAAGTAAAATAAGCTAACAAGCCAACAAACTACTAATTTTTTATGTTGCCAAAACAAGCATAAATACAAAAAAGTATATAAAACCTTGTTTGGTTTTAGAAAATTGAGACCAATTTTCAGAATATTGAGTTTTTTGTTTTCTGTATTTTTTTGTTTTTAATCAAAAATTTTGATATTTTACAAAAAAAAAAAATTTAGAAGTACCTAACCTAGATACACTTAAAAAGTATAATATTTATAGAAAAAAAATCTTTAAAAAATTTATCGAATACAAAAAATATACAAATTCAATATATTTTCGTATTCTTCTGTTTTTATTGTGCATCTAATATTTATGAGTTTTAAACATTTTTTTTTTTATTTTAGTTAAATATTTTTATTTTTAAATGTACTTAATTTAAATACAATTAAAAAATTAAAATTTTTGTGAAAAATCTAAAAAAAATATTACATTACTATATATTTTTTGTATTTAGTGAATTTTTAAAAGATTTTTGACATATTTTATATTTTTTACATGTATCTAGATTAAGAAAAACTCCGCCGGGGTTGTTAACAAGTCCGCCGGTCCCAAGCCCGAGTTAAGGAGGAAAACAAGAGGGTATACAAACTTGTTAAGATATGGGAAAGAAAAACAAGAGATTTTAATCAAGTTAAGTGCATCAAGAGTGAGGATTCTAAGGTATTGGTGAGGGATGAAAAGATTAAGGAAAGATGGAAGAACTATTTTGAGAAACTATTAAATGAGAAACATGGAGGTGGCAATAGGGGAAGAAATAGCCAGTAACACGATAAACTAAGACTATAGGTTCTCTCGCAGGATTAGGAACTTTGAAATAGAGATTGCACTTAAGAAAATGAAATCAAATAAGGCTTTAGGGCCAGATGATATCCCTATTGAAGCTTGGAAGTGTTTGGGTAAAAAGGGAGTTGCTTTGTTGACTAGGTTGTTTAGCAAAATTTTGTTGACAGGAACATGCTAGATAAGTGGAGGAAGAGTATTTTAGTGTCAATCTATAAGAATCAAAGAGATGTTCAGAATTGCAACAACTATAAAAGAATCAAGCTAATATGTCATATAATGAAAGTGTGGGAGAGGGTGATAGAATGCTGATTGTAAGATATAACAGAGATGTCCCAGAATCAATTTGGGTTTATGCCTGGCAAGTCAACAATGGAAGCGATCTATCTTTTGAAGAGAGTAATAGAAAAGCTATATGAGAAGAAGAAAAGAGACATTACAATTATGGTGTTTATCGACCTTAGGAGTTAAAGTATAGGTAATAGATGTCCGGGCCGGGATATAACTATAGTGGGTGTTTAGCGAAAAAAAAAGAGGTGACAAAAGGTTAGCATTAATGTGACTAGGGACATGTATGAGGGGGGTGAACCATTATTAAAGATTGGCTTATTTGGAGAGGCTCGCACAATGTTTCCCTATCTTACTTCGGAAGTGGTTACAGGGCGACCGAGGATTTACCTAAGTCCTTAGTACATTCTATATTTGTTCTTTAAGACTTGGCATCGGAGTCAGGACTCGAGAAGCTTTAGAGGAAGAAAATATCCAGGATGAAACGCTCGCATGGCATCCATTGATCTGATTTTGCAGACGATATAATGTGCTAGGTGGATAGAGACTAGAGAAGGAGTTAATACAATAATTGGAGATTTTTGAGAAAAAGCTCTTGAATCTAAAGGATTTCGGACAAGCGAAAACTAAGAACAGAGTACATGAAGTGTAAATTTAGTAACAGTAACAATGAAAGTAGAGGAGAGTGAAGATTGATTTAACTTCAAAAGCTCGGTTCCTAAGAGTGAACATTTTCGTTACTTTAGCGTCCAGAAATATATAAACAACAAGCTGCGGGGAGTATATGTATTGGG